TCAGCTCAAACCAGTACAGCTCCAAGTCTCTCTTGCTAGCCGGATGAATGACGAATTGCGCGGCCTTCTTCATGGGGCACTCAAACCATTTGCTGACTACCTCGGACGCGCCGTTCGCCGTCAGGGTGTAGGCGTCGTAGTGTTCAGTGATGGCGGGCTTGTTGTTCCAGGTGCTGCGACCGTTGACGAGCTTGGCTTCGATACGAGAGATGCTGATAGCCATTGGAGCGTCGCCCTTGAGGGTAAGTGGGGCGTTTTTGAAGGGGTCGACATTGATGAGGAATCGCAGGCGGCAGATCTTGACGTTGTCGATCTGGGGGACGTCGAAGTTGATTGCTGTCCATTGTTCGGTGTCTGTCTTGTTCTGACCGACGGGTTAGTGGCTGGCAAGCTCATGATGTGGGTATTGTAGACACTTACATTGCGGCTGACGGTCGCGTCATCCTGGGTATAGAAAGCGGTGTCCGGCTGGGAGCTTTTCATGGGCAGGAGCAATGTCGGGAACTTGGTTTCGACCAGGTCAGCAAAGGCTGGAAGGCCGAAGAGGACGGGGAGGAGAGCGAAGATGCGCATTTTGATGTTTGAGGGGTCGATGATTGGGTGGAAGATGTTGATGTGTGGAAGCTGAAGCTGTCGATGCTGAAGTAGTGATGCTTCGCAGTGATGCTCTTATACTTGGGGAAGAAGTGCAGCGGTAGTGTTGGGACGCTTGGGTGATGTTTGAGAACAAGCTAACATGATGGCTGTGCCGTCCTTGCAGACTTTCTTGTGCGAGGCAAGTGACTGCCTAACATCAGTTGGGAAGTCGCATTGGCTGTGCCTGGGGCAGTCGCGGTTTGCAACACACCGAGCAATACCAAGACAAGATCCACCCAAGAAGGCAAGAGCGACTCCAAGACCAAGTAGCACGATTACGTGGTCGTTTTGCTCAACAAGGCAGCGATGAGTCCACTTTCGGAAACAGTACAAAGTACGACGAAGCTGTCATTCGCGTGTCGGCAAGGCACGCTGGTATTGGCGACCGAGATGTAGGTATTGTCGGGGCACCAGACGGGTAGCTACAGCAATTGATCGATCGCATTTGGTGGGTTGCTAAAGATACTGTCTTGGGCGGATTTCTCTGCTTCTCCAGATGCGCAAGCTTGTTTCTGCTAACGGTGAAGACGTCCATTAGCTCTTGAGGGTTGTCAGCGACTAGGCCCGACAAGCTCCATGTTGAGGTGGCTTTGCAGATCTGTATTCTCACACCACTTCCTCTGAATATCATATTAAGCTGTCCTACCTGGATCCGCATTCTAATAGTAATAGAGGATAAAGATGACGCAGAAGCGTGTGATGTGGGTGTGAGTGGTGGTAATGCAGCTCTTTAGTCTGTTCACACCGCTCTGTCACGGCGCACGATGCTCTTTGAAGTGTATTGGCTTGTGGTTTGAATAGATCATACTAGAGTATTGCATTCATGTGGTCAATTATTGCCGGTGTTCCCAGGCTCCGGGCGGGGAAGGTATCACGAGACCATGATGGTTCCAGCTGGTAGGTTCGTCTGAAACCCATTCGATCGTTCCTGGATATAGTGCCAAAGCAAACCACCGGCCTAGCATTGGTGGTGTAGGAACCCACAGCCATTCGCAGACTAAGCTTTCGGCGCGGAGCTATCGGAAAGATGAAGTACTCTAAACGCGTGAGATGTGGTAGTGCGGTAACGTGGGACGAAGGCGGGGATGAAGGCGACAGTACACGGAGGCAGGTAGTTGCTCCTGGAAAGCCTCCTGATGCTCTTCACAGTAATTGGGGAGGTGACAATTCGGGAATAGCGCGGCTTTAGAGCCTCGGCGAGTCGGGTTGTCGTCATCGCTATGGCTGCAGCACCTAAACCTCGGCCTCGCATCACACGTGTACCCTACGCGTCGTGGTCTTACCAACTCGATGTCCTCTTCGGGCCTGCTAGAATGGCTTTCAGCTGGCGAACGCGACCCGCCTTGAGACTTGGTGCTGCTGGACGCCCTTCGTTCCGCGCCCGAGGCATACCCTCCAGACGAAACCTCTACCTCGCGCCGCCATACCTACTGGACGACTATATACCGCGCTATCAGCTGCTCTCCTCAGTGGAAGCCGCCAAGAAGCGATCCCTGGCCTATGCGCACCTGCGTGAATGCAATCTCTGCCCCCGACTGTGCGGTGTCAATCGTTACGAGACGACAGGCACGTGTCTAATAGGAGCCGAGACTGTCAAAGTCAACACTATCGCTCCTCACTTTGGTGGTGGGTTGAAATAGACAAACCGTAGGCGTGCTCGTGCTGACGCCGATCAGAGGAGCCCTGTTTTCAGGGACACAATGGTAGCGGATCAGTCTTCTTCTCTGGGTGCAACCTGAGATGCGTGTTTTGCCAGGTATGCTGCCCTGTCCTTCGTCGTAGCATACACACTAACGCCGTGTTCAGAACCACGATATAGCCCACCAGCGCAACGGGTTCGACCTGACACCAGAGCAACTCGCAGAGTGGTTCATGAAGCTGCAGGACGTGGGCCGCGTCCACAACATCAACCTCGTTACACCCGAACATGTCGTACCCCAGGTCTGCCTATCGATTCTGCACGCGCGCGATCTCGGTCTCCACATACCCATCATTTACAACACGTCGTCGTTCGATTCGCTCGAGAGCATACACTTGATGGATGGCTTGGTGGACATTTACCTGCCGGACTTCAAGGTGTGGCGTGACGCGACGAGCCGTCGGTTACTGAAGGCAGACGGATACACAAAGGTGGCTATGGAGAGTATCAAGGCCATGCACGAGCAGGTGGGCGACCTCTGCTTCACTCCTGACGGCATCGCCAAGAAGGGAGTGCTGGTGCGACACCTGGTGATGCCCGGCATGGAGGACGAGGGACGAGAAATTGTGAAGTGGCTTGCCGAGAACGTGAGCAAAGACATCATGGTGCACATTATGGAGCAGTATTTTCCAAGAGCTCATGTAGGCAAGGAGCGGCGCGGCCGTGCAAGCCAGGGCGTTGTTGAGCCAGGCGGTGTTGAAGCCTCACCTTCGACTAAGAAAGACGTGCGATATAGTGAGATTAATCGCGCGGTAGACCTGGATGAAGTCGCATCAGTCAAAAAAGCAGCCCAAGAAGCTGGCTTGTGGAGGTTCGTCGAAGCATCAAGACATGGCGGCTTTAACATCTGACGACGCCTGGTGCAACTTACAATATGCGGGTTCCGGAGAAGGCGTGACCAGGACACATCCACCGCGCCTGCTCTTCGTAGGTTGCGCTTGCTCTAAACATCACCTAGGCACCAACTCGTCTGTAGCCGAGCCAACAGTCACATCCACCCCGTCATCTTGGACACCACCACAAACATATTGATTCGTGCATTACTACGATGCCGCCGATCAGCATGGAACAAATCTCCGAGATCGAACGCATCGTCCATGACCTCAAGGTCGACCGAGATACCTGGCAGGCTGTGGCGCTCCAATACAAAGCGGCCTTCGAAGCTCAGACATCCCGCCTACACGAGCTGCAAAACGTGTGCTTTGCTACGCAAGCCGAGCTGGAAAACGAGCGAGCTCAACAACAACGTCTCCAGACAGTCTCTGGCGAGCGCGAGAACCACCGTCCTGCTACCTTCGACGGTACTGAGGACCTTCACGTCAATTTCACTTTTGGTACCGCTACTTTATGCTTACCGAAAGAGATCGAGCCAACTCACTTGCGACGGCCCTCCGAAGATTGCACCCACCCCTTGTTCAAGCGCGCACAAGAGTGTACCGCTCAGCGTAACTACGGCACTGCCCTGGTCGAGGTTGAGCGACTCCTGAAAGGTCCGCTCAGCCATAAGGCTCGCGCCGAAGGCTTACTCTTGAAGAGCAATATTCTTAGAGCCTCTGGCCCCGATGAGCTCCTTGACGCGCTAGCTACGTGCAGCGAAGCCGTAGAGCTCTGCGACCGTCTTTCTGAGCTTCAGAACTTCTTGCCACGCATACAATACCAGCGTGGCCTGTTGTACTATGAGCTGCGTCAACTCCACCAAGCCCGAGAAGCCTTCAGCACAGTTTGCGACGACGACCTCTCCGCTAAAGCCAGGGAGTTTCGCAAGTCTTACGATGATGAGCTGGATCTGCTGCGCTGTACCAAGCGTCGGTCGGGCTTTGATGAGAACCGCACTATGGAAGGCTTGCTCGCCCAACTGGAGGATAAGGGCACAGAGGTAATTCGGCGTCGACTCCAACACCCTACAACATACTGACCCCTCTTAGAACAAGCGCCGTCGAACCAGTGCGCAACTTAGGCAGCGCGCCGCCGCGAAAGCGAGACGAATGTCGTTGCCCTACCGCTGGGTCAAATCAAAGAGCGACGAACATCACCGAGAGTAATACTACCATGTCACACTGGTCTGTAATCATGGGAAGCCATGGCAGCACTCCGCCGTTCAGGGGATGAACTTTTGGTACCCCGCTTCTTTGTTCGCACAGACATGGCGGTTCAGCCACCATTTGAGGGGCCGTGTCATTCTTTGTGTTGAAGTTTTCCGCTTTCTCGCAAGGCTGCAGGAATTGAACAAAGAGTTACTGTAGAGAGCGTTACGTCAAATGCGGCGCGGCTTGAGACATCCCAAAGCACGAACATCTTTAGTCGGAAAGTTGATAGTTCTATGCCATCGCAAGAACCATTTACCTGAGCTTACTAGGAGCTTTGCTCTTCTAATTATTTCATCGCGATGTTCGCAAACGTTCAGCAGCCCTTAGAGGTCGCTGCCCTCGGCCATGAGTCCCTCAACGGCGTCGCGAATCGTACTAACGATGTATCTGCATACATCAACAATCTCCCAACTCCCCCCACACACGACAAATCTTCCGACTGCGCATCACCATTAAGTCAACTCTTGCGAGAAAGAGATCAACACATCAGCAATGAAACCCCTTCGAATATCACGCCTGAGTCTATCGCAAATGGCATCCCCATTGAAGAAAAAACCAGCAACGAATTTAGGATAGCCATGGGTCTGATCCAATGCCAAACATACCTCAATCGTTGCGTAGTTTTGCAGTCAATCATCAACTCGATGGAGCGCACACCCCGGGCACAACAGTCTGAGGCTGAGGCCGAGGCAATCGTACGGTCCTACTACAAGAGAATTCATAGGTTTGCTGTCGAAGCATACCAACTTGCCGAAGCTAGATCTAGCCGCAGCCTACTCGCACGTTCCGAATACTGGTGTGGCCGTGGCTGCGGTGGTTTGCGCGAATGGGATGCTGCTGTGAGCCACTTCAGGTCTGCTGCGAACATGGATTTGTCAGACGTCTATTTCAAGGGTATGCCACGTCAGCAAAGAGGTCTACTGAAGAGTGAGAGGGAGGATGTCGACTTCCTACTCCAGAGCGTAACACAACGTTACAACGAATGGATTCTAAACGGAGGAGCGCACAAAACCGTCGATGATCAAGAAGCAAGCCCCAGTCCTACCGAGGTTATCCGAAAAGAGGCACTGAAGGGACCGCGTTGGAGGCCACATCAAGAACACTTGGACTATCTGGTAGAGCAACAGTGTAGTACAGAAGGGTCTTCCGATAGACAGCTTAGCCACCTTCGATCGAGTGAACACGCAGGTGTTTCCTTCAACGAGAAGGATGTGGCAGCTGCTGAGGAAAGGCTGAGTCTGAAGGATGACAAACAAGGGATCCGAAACACATTAAACGCCGATGAATGGTTCTACGTCCTTCGTGGTCACAAGCCCACCAAGAAGCGTACGAATCACACTGAACACAACAGGGCTAGTGATCGAGGCCGCCAACACAGCGAACCTTCCAAGCTTCCACCATCTGTCGCGTCAATCCATTCCAGAAGTGTCTCTTCACTCGAACCCTCTCATGACCCACGCAACGCACTCGACACCGCCAGCTACGAAAACGGCGACCCCACGCCATCGCTCGTCGGAAGTGGCGTGTCGCCTTCATCTGAGGGAGAGCGCGGACTTCCATCACCGACAGCAGGGTATTCCCAAGGCCGTCGCAAAATGAAACTGCCGGCCATAAGCACCAGCGCAATTCAGAAGGATGCTAGACTTGGTGAGGCTGTCCTGGGCTCCCTCTCGCCGACGGACCTGAAGGTAGACGATACCCGTGACGGGGATGAGACAGGGGAGGTTGGATCCGGCAACAGCATGGTCACATCGGCGGGGAGGGATTTGTCGGCAACTTATTAGTGGAGGATCGGGCGAGGGTGGAGATGTACGGTTCTCTATGGGGGTGGGTAGGAGTTAGAGGATCGCGTTGTATGTATGAAATGCAAAAGGTCGACTTGTTCTGCGTTGGTATGTTTATTAGGCTAGTGATCTGGGTTATATGCGATAGTCAACCGCCTTCTCATTCTGACGTTGCCGTTCTCATGTACTATCGCGCATTTGAAGCATGTTTTGCACTAACGTTGGAAGGGATAATCGGTGTGTACAACGCTTTCTCGGTAGACCTTTGTCCTTTTGTTCTCCTTATCAAAGACTGTTCGCGCATGCATCATACCTTTGTCTACTTACCTTCACATAAGACGCCTACTCCGTGTGCGCTATCGGGGCCTGATCTTCGAATTATGCAGCCAAACATAGCAATCACATCAGCAAACCTACATACACATCTCGTTCCCAGTTTAAAGCAGCCATGTCATACATACCACCATCAGTACCGTCAGAACCCGCTCCACCAACCCTCAGCGACCTCTGGGTCACCGAAAAGCACACCTTCGTACACGGAAACGCATGGCGTTGGACCGACACCGGTTTCCTCGTCCTCTTCATCCTCCTCTTCCTTTTCATAATCGGCCTAGTCTGCGAAGACGCGGATCTAACAGCTGAGCTCATGGAGCTCAAAGAAGGCACATATGCAAAGCACATCGGAGGCACAGTCATGGCATACTTTGATGAGGGCATTCGCAACGACCTTTTGCAAAAGTACATCAGGACGGGTCTCGCGAGAAGTAAGATGAGATTAAAGCGCGAAATCACGGCTGAATTGATCGACGCATACCGGAAACGACAGCGAAAAGACAGTGCTGGGAGTGATCCGCACGGCCCACGTCCTGTACCACGGGATGGTGAGGAGGCCGATGAATATGCTGAGCGCTTGAGGGAATGGACGGAGGAGGATCTACGGCGTGAGACGGATGCGAGGGTGAGCCTTTGGTTGAGAAGGCCAACGGGGGAAACTGTTGGGTTGTCGAAAGAAGAGGCTAGGGTTATAGCTCAAGCTGCTGGTAGTAGTACGTGAGACGTTGAGGCTTCTGTGTTCGAGTCGGATTCGCTTACGAACTAGAAACCACAATGAAGCAAATCTGAACAAGTCATACTATGTATCTGTTCAAGACGCATCTATCTCGACCTCGGTTGTTTCTTCGACACCAGCGGCTGGTTTGAGTGGTATGTCACTCGCCCCGTTCTTGGTCATGCTTGAGCTCCTGCTTTCTCCTTCCGCAGGCCGCCAGTATACATGGCTGAGTCCGTTGTCGTTCGGGGATAGAGGCTTGTTTCCAAGATAATAATGATAAACAGATCGAGAGAGGGCGAGATTAGTGGCTATGATGCCAAGGCATAACTCGGTCATGGCCCAAATGGCTACGGCAGAGTACTCATCTAGTCAAATTGAATTAGTACGGCTTTATTGCAGCGCAAGAATCTTCACGTACAGGCAATATCCTTTGCTTTCGAATTAAGTGTTTTCGCCCTGACAGCAGAACATGCTGTGCAGATCAGTCCGAGAGCCATCAGCACCCAAATTGATACCTTCCTTCTTGTGGGCAACTGGATATCCCGCGTAATGATGATAGGAAGCAAGGAGCATATGAGATCGGTGATGATCGATATGCCTAGGTGTCAAATAAGCTTTCAGATCAGGAAATGGCTTTCGTATGCCTTACCAGCTTGTGCATAAATTGAGTAGATTCGTACTTCCGTAGGCCAGCACGTGCCTGGTCCCGAACGCCAGTAAAGGCTAATAGGCTGACATTGGGCCAAGAGGACGATGATGACCTCAAGGGCAGCAATAACTAAAATAGAGATGATGCAGCCAGCAAGCCATTTCATCTGGCTGGAGTGTTTGATTCGAGTCATGAGCAGGCAGACGGAGATCTTGACCGAAGCCATAGCAGCAAAGAGAACAAGCTGGGCGTACCAACTGTACATGTTGATGAATTCCTTGTCGCTCTTGGAAAGCGACGCACTGGGTCTTCCCTTGCCTCTCGTCACTGCCGTGATAGTAATTGCGGCCTCAATGACCGTGAGCATCATCGCGACTGCGATGGTGTGGTCATCCCAGCCGAGGGCTCGGCGCTTCCTGCGAACCCAGAGCCGTAGAACGGTGGTGAAGAAGGCAATTGTTGTAAATAGCACCGAGACGGTGATCAATGCCGGACCTCTGTCTGCGATCATCGAGAATGGCGCTTGAGTTTCAAGTAAGGAAATGTATTCAAGACAGTCACTGTCATGGGGATACTTGTAACTTATTTGTGGCACGACCAGCCCAGCATAGGATCCTTCTGGACAGCAACTGTAGACGCATAATCCACAGTGCTTTCCGCAAAAACTACCAACAAAGCACGAGCTTAGACTTTGCACCAAAGTTACGCCCCGATCTATTACGAAACCTCGTATGACGGATAGCTTCGCTTTCAAAGGATTGGGTCAACGCTGGGAGCGCACCTCGCGGCCGAAGAATCGCTCAGCTGCAGGGGTCGACTGGGAAGAATCGTTCTTGTTGGCTCGCTTCGTACCGTCCATAGTCGCGACGCCGGCGGCTTACCTGTGCTTGAGAGCTCACGGAACTCGATGTACTATTGCACGACGGCTCAGCATGACCCTTTCGACACATGGCAATGGCGGTGTTATGGTGTTTTGAGGTCAATCAGCAGGTGGCGTAGCCAATGGGAAGACATGGCTACAAGCACGGGGAGTGTAGCAATCGCGCTCGCGAGGCGAGCCCGGTAACGCTGCTGATTTGGGCATGCAAGGTATCTGGTATGGAGAGCGTTACCGGGGATCGAACCAAACGGTTTTCCCGCCTTGGCGCAGGGAAGGATTCGTATCCATGCGAGCGATATGCAGGCGCATGCATACCGGCTGTATTCATGCGAGGCGTTGACCAATTGAAGGGCCAAACAGATCTCGTCAGACAATCCTTCCCTGACTGGATAAGACGCCTTACAATCTCGACATTTTGTGTGGACTATCTCCGTGACACGGCAGCGGTTCTCCGAAGGACCAATTTGAGCTCAATTGCCGTAGCTGGAAGGCGCATATTGAGCCTTTTTTGTTGGCCAATGATGGATAAAAAAGGGCCTAACTGAATCGTTGGCAATGCGGGCCTGCTCTAGACAGTCGTGCGGTATTTCCAAATCTTATGCAGCAGGCCTCCCGCTTTCTCTATTCCTACAGGTTTCCCGTCTAAGGCGTCCACTACGCAGGAGTACCATCGTATCGACTTTTGTTGTGTACAAGACGCTGAGCACCGATGTGGCTCATCTCAGCTCTGTTCTCCGCGGTCGTGCTGGGTGTCGTACCTGCAGCGAGTGCGAAGACATGTCAGGTACCCGATGGTAGCTTCGACTTCGTATGTATTTTCCAGGCTGCAATATTGAATACATGACGGAGCTGACCTTTTGTCTAGGTCATTATTGGAGGCGGAACAGCCGGCCTTGCACTTGCCACGAGACTCAGCGATACTCTTCCAAGCCATTGTATTCTAGTCATCGAAGCTGGACCAGATGGACGCGACGAGCAACGAATCTATATCCCTGGACTGAGAGGTTCGACCTTTGGTTCCTCGTATGATTGGAGTCTTCCAACTGTGCCACAAGCTGAAGCAAACAACCGGACTATAGGCCATAACCGTGGCAAGGTCCTCGGTGGTACTTCAGCCCTGAACCTGCTTGTTTGGAATCGTGCTACTGTCAAGGAATACGATGCTTGGGAAGAGCTCGGGAACCCAGGTTGGAACTGGCAGAATATGTTTCCAAGCATGCTGAAAGCAGAAAACTTCCAACGACAGAATGGCTCCCCACAGTACGGCGTCGATGGTGTTGGATATGGAGGGCCGATCCAAGTCGCTCTCACTGAGAATCCGCCGCCCCAGCTCCAGGCTTGTATTCCAACGTTGACCAATCTTGGCGTGCAAGAAAATCTCGAATCGTTGAATGGAACCAATCTTGGCGTCATGTATCAACCGGCTACCTATCGCATATCCAATCACACGCGCTCCTATTCCGTGGACTATCTTCCAGAAGCTGGCGACAACCTAGTTTTCATGTTCAACACTACCGTCCAGAAGATTCAACTCAACGAGGATGGGTCCAAGGCGACTGGCGTCATTCTCATGGACGGCACATTGATCCAAGCCAGGAGCGAGGTAGTTGTTTCCGCCGGGAGCCTGCTTTCTCCAAAGATTTTGGAGCTCTCTGGGATAGGCCAGAATTCCGTGTTGGAAAACGCTGGTGTCGAGCATATCGTTGATCTTCCCGGCGTTGGAGAGAACCTACAGGACCATCTCCGCATTCAGACCACGTATGAGCTCAAACCCGACATTCTCGGAGTGGATATCCTAAAGTATAACACTACGTTGGCGGCCAGTGAACTGGACCTGTGGAAGCGCGGCCGTACTTCGCTGTACCAGTACGCCGGAAGCTGCTACGGCTTCGTGAAGTGGAAGCAGGCTCTTGATGACGACAGGAAGCTCATCCAGCTCGCAACGCAATCCGCGGACAAGTCGAATCCTGTCGATCGAAAGAAGCTTGAACTACTCACTGGTCCGGACTCCGAAGCACCAGATCTGGAGGTCGTCTTCAGTGATGGTTATATAGGAACAACCGGATACCCGAAGAATGGCACAGCTGGCTACGGCAAGCAGTATGCAACGCTGCTGGCTGGTGTACAGCACCCGCTTTCTAGGGGATCAGTCCACATCAACGGATCCGATCCAGTCAACAAGCCTCTCATTGATCCAAGGTATCTTGGTACGCCTTACGATCTAGAGGCTCTAATTCAGGCCGCGAAGTATACACGAAAGATGGCCATGACCGCGCCGTTCAAAGATGTTTGGGTATCCGAGTTCGATCCTGGTATGAGCACCGAAACAGACGCAGAGTGGGAAACGTACATCAGGAACAACGTCTTCACTTTCTACCATCCACTAGGAACTTGTGCGATGTTGCCGAAGAAGGACGGTG